CGCTCCTCTGAAAATGCGAATCTTTTGAGCGAATAAAACCAGACTTTCACCTTTCACACGAAAGAAAGTTGCTAAAACGTTACAAGAAAACAAAAAAAGGAAAAATTTGTTTGAATATTATTCACCGAGGGAATTCAGGAGTCACGTCCCTTTATTATGTCATGTACGGTGTCACTCAGGGACCACCGATTCATATTTGCTCTAGAAAAACGAGCAGGGCGCTTCCGTAGAATAGATATTATGGATGAAAATTATTGGTGCCTTAATCCTGTATATTCTGGGTAGTTTTTCATAGCTTAAATAATATATTGTTTTATATGTGTGTCGTTTGCTTGATTTGTATCCGGGTGTTTTATATGTGTATATTTTAGTGCATGTATCAACACGTCTATAGCTTCATTGTATTTAGAATCTTTTTTTGGACCCCACATGACTGTGTATGTTATTTTCTCACAATTACTTTAATATTTCTCATACGTTTATTGCACAGACAGATGAACGAACTTTTTGGTCTTAATTGGTCACTTGAATCCATAAGCATCATAAGATATGAGATCTAAATCTCAATTTTATAGTATAACGGCTGTGTACTACAGCTTATACTTTTAAACCGGACCGCAGTACTGCTTTTCGGTAGGAATAGGCAGGCAGGTTAATGGTACCTCCCCATGCGTGGTCACAAGAAGCCTTACCACCAATTTACGCAATTTGTTATTATAAAGGGTTATGGTTGAACACGTTAATTTTTTCGATAGAACGGGATGTCATTTTCGGAGAGCTTTTTAGAGAGCCTATTGTATCAAACTTGAAAAGGATATTGAATTTTCCGCTAACGCCAACATGACGGATCAATAGAAAAGAATTTCAACGAGAAAAAAGTTTTTCCAAAAGGCCAACGACATAATTTTTGATAAAGTCGTGGAAAGTGAAAATTGTTTTTATCTTTTTTATATTCAAGACACACGAAATATAATGGGAGCCTCGAAATTCAGCCGGGGCAGGCCTGTTAACGCAGAGGTTGCCAAACGTGACTTGTATGTATTAAGGGCTTTATCACACTGGCGGAAAATTACACGGAGCCGTCAAGGTAGTTTAAACATATCAGACACAAGGATGTGAACTGACCCTTAAAAGCGAATTTCGAGGGTAGGTACGTGGTTCGGTTAGTCATTTTATACATACTTAGAATGTTAAACTTGCTCTGTCCGGACTGACATGGTTTTAAATTTTTTTTAGTAATAATTAGTGTGAACATTAATATTGTCTCGAAGCGAAAACAACTTTTTGCCAGTTACAATACCATTTTAACACAGACCGTGCACTCCGGTATAAAATAAATAAAAATCTGGAATAAAAACAAACGAAGAAGGACAAAAAGGATAATTTAGTATATTGAATATGTGTACTGATGAGTTTGTTGGTTATTTGTTTTAGAAGGTCCAGTGAAATTAACGATATTTAGTATTATCCGATTTCATTGTTTGTTCATTTTCGGTTGGGATTTTTTTTATGATGGAGAGATTACTGGTGACCCAGAGGCCTTTTCAATTTCACCAGGACTGGTGGGGGCGAACAAGAGCTCAGCCAGGAGGGGTGGGATTTGCTAATAGCTAGCTGAGCGTCTCCAAAGGAGATCTTACAACTCGAGAGTAACTGCTTCGCTAATGAATCTACTACCGGATCGGAATCGCGACCCGCTGAGAAGATCCGGTGAGAAACTCAGGGGGCTGATGCATCGGTTAAGTTGCACGTCGAACTCTTTGCCGAGATCGACGAGTACGGTTGCCGGGGTCTTCAAGCCTGCTCCTAGCGCTAGAGCTGAAGATGCCTAATGCAAGGGCCATTGGATCTGATGGATCCGTAAAGACATGTTAATGGCGTCGACGGTGATTGGCTTCTGCGTCATCAGGATTTGGGGAGTAGTCAGCGGCAGCAACGACAACGCATAGCTTTATCGAAGTACAGTTCCGAAGCTGACTTCATGTGTTTTCGGATTGATTCGAGGCCCAGGTCATCGTTAGGTCAACGTTCCTTATGAACCACGGAGCTCCGAGGGCTAACCTGCAAAAGCGGAATTTTGTGGATTGGAGAGGGTCCATGTGTGAGCGGGCCGCGTGAGCAAGCACCACATTCGCGTAAGTCATGACGGGCCTTATGCAAGCTTTCTAAAGTGTCAACTTGTTCCCAAGGGACATTTTACTTCGCTTACAAATCATGGGGTAGAGTCTGCGAGGATAAAAGCGGCACGGTCGCGAATTGATTTTTATATGCGGGCGGAATCTCATCGATGCACCCAGGGTGACTCCCAGGTACTTGATCTTGCTGGCCCACGGTATGGGCTGGTCAAAGTGGGCAATAGGGGGTGTGAGAATCCTCCTCCTAATCCGGGAGGAAATCCGTGTGGAGTTTCCTTATTGAAATAGTACCGCTGCGCTTTTCGCTGATGTCTATGCGCCACTTTCGGAACCACTATCCTAAGGTTACGGCTGCGCTCTGGAGTTTCCTCGCGATTAGGCACTTGTTTCTACTCGAGTACTAAACGGTCGTGTCGTCTGCGAATAAGGCTAACTGGGTCGGCGGCGACCGGAGAATGTCATTAATAAATAAACTGAATAGGAACACAGAGAGGACATAGCCTTGGTGGACTCCAGCTGTAAGGGGTCGGGTTGAGAAGCGGGTTCCCTCGACTCGATATCGAAAAGAGCGGTTTGACAAGAAGTCCCGTATGATGAGCACGAGATTGTCCGGCACGCCCATGTTGAATAGCTTGAAAAATCAAACCGAAACATAACGAAAAATTGCACCGATTTCTATAAAACTTTTGATATTTAAAAGCTACGATAAAAATGACATTACCTATTACGTGTCATTTCACCACCGTAATAAAATCTGTAGGTGGAACCTTATTTATTCATCATCACTTATTTGTTTGTATATTATAGACGGGACGCTTAGTCGACCTGGTCCTAAGTTTGACCGGAGCCCATAGACAGGTACGTAGCCAACGTGAATGCTGCATTGTATAGTAAATACGTATATTTACGGTTTTGATTTGATTGCTTCATTGTAGAAGTATATCAATACCTCATTTTATTCCATAAATCACGAGTGTATTGCGGAATATGAACACCGCTCGATACAAGTACCCCAAGTGTCTCACACAGTACAAACTAGCATATCAGTCAAGTAAAATGTTACTGTTACCTATTTAATTTAAAATTAATATCCTCTTATTGGAACGTTTCAAACAGTAAATCGTATTTTAGATATCTCAGACACACTCATCAACTTAACGCGATCACTACGAACTTCAGTACAATGCAGCTATATATTCAATTCGCTCCAGACATGGAGTAAATCCTCAGTGAGGCGTGTTAATTTCTAAACGCAATTACAGCTACCACTCGGGACCCAGTTGCACTAAGATGTTCTAATTTAACTAAGAATGTCTGCCATTCACAGTCGCTTCGCTCACTGAGATCCATTGTTTGGTTGTAAATCTATTCGGTTATTATTTATTCAGCGTTTCACGCTTAGAGTTACATACACATAAAAATGTATTTTTCTTGCGTTTATTTTCGAAGCGATGAAGCGTATTGTGGACTCGAAAATGTTTGATTATAAACTGTTGAAGAAGAATTTCATATCAGCTGCACACTATAGTAGAACTTTTGATAAGTTGTCAGAAAAAGATTAAAGGATTCTTAGAGGTTTGTTTCAAATTTGAATTATATTTTTGTCAAATATAGACTTTGTTGTCTACATGAACGAAATAAGTATTATTTAAAATTAGGACTTTAAAGCCATAGTGTAGACGGAGATAAATAAGCTATATGTGTTATTTATTGTGTTTGATTATAATTTTATTACACTATCTAAGTTTTAATTTAGAACTTGAACGAATTACAGAATACACATAATTACGTCGTAGAATGCTTCAAAGGCATTATTTAGTACTTTGTCAATTTAATTCATATTATATTGAGTGCGTCTTGTGCGGTTGTAAATTAAAATAACTATCTAAACCTACTTATTTACTTTTAGAAATATGATTTCTTAAAATATTTGGTGTCAGAGTATTTCTTGATTTATACCACAATTATTGTATGTTACGCGACTAAAGCCGATACGATAAGAAAGCAGCTAATAAGTCGCCGGCTCAAAGCATCTTGGAACCTGAATTCAATTACAGATAAATTGACGGGTTTGCAGATTGCATTCGAAAGTTCTTGGGACGGCGACTTTGAATTTACATTACATTCAATGAATTAATATGACAATATGATTACTTTAAAAAAATCAAAAGATGTTAAGTGTAAATAATCCAGACGGCTGGCTGATCTTTCGGCTGGTTGTAGGATCGTCAAGGCGATTCGCCCGGTCCTGGTGGATTGGGTGAATCGTGACAGAGGACGCCTTACTTTCCGGCTCAAGCAGGTGCTCACTGGGCATAGTTGCTTTGGTGAGTTCTTGCATCGGATCAGAGCCGAGTCGACGGCAGAGTGCCACCATTATGGTTGCGACTTGGACTCGGCAGAGCATACGCTCGTCGCCTGTCTCGCATGGGAGGGTTGGCGTCGTGTCCTCGTCGCAAAAATAGGAAACGACGAGTCGTGGAAGGCGACGTTCGACTTCTGCGAGTGCACCATCTCGCAGAAGGAGGCGGCGGGGCGCGTGAGAGACGCACAAGTCCGCCACCGTCGAGCGAGGGTCAGGGAGGCGGATTTCGCCCAAGCCCTGGCCCTCTAAGTGCTTCGGGTCCCCCTCACATGTCGGTCTGGGGACCGTCGAGCGGGGCCTAAGAAGACGACGTGCAAGCTGCTCTACAGGTGTTTTATGCAAGAGCATCCGGGTGCTGGAAGGCCGGCTATCCTCGACCTACGCTGGTTCTGACCTAGCGGAAAGTGAAGGAGAACGCTGAGGCGTGAAAATCAGCTGGCTGATGTTATATATAGGTTAGGTGTAAGTACAAGTAAAAATATGAACTGTGTTATATTTACCTTGATCATGGCTTTGAGTAATGCGTATCTGGTGAAGACGTTGCGTTGTGACTTAGACTCGCTGTATCTGGCCATTAGCGTGACTAGGGCCTTTTTGGCTATGTCGTAGTTCTCGTCGAGGCGCACCCTGACTGCACGGAGACGCTCGTTCGTCTCAATGACCTCTTCTTTAGTCTGACCGCCTGGTACAAATACAAGATTTAAGTGGATTAGTGGGTTAGCGGGATAATCATGCTTTTTTGAAAATAATTTTCTTTTTATTTATTGCTTAGATGGTTTAACGAGCTTACGGCCCACCTGATGTTAAGTCGTTACCAGAGCCCATAGACATCTACAAACTAATGAAGCTACCCAGACATGAGTTGTAAGGTCTCACGTTTAACAGTACAACGACTGCCCTGCCCTTCTAACCAAAACGCATTACTGCTTCACGACAGAAATAGGCAAGCTGGTACCTACACGTGCGGACTCACAAGACGCCCTATCACCATAGTAATACCATTCTCGGGCGCCTGTTATAGAGATTTCGTCTTATGCTATACCTACCACCAGTAATTACGCATATTAAAATTTTGCGGGTTTCGTTTTCATTACACGATGTTATTCCTTCACCGTCGAAGTAAATCGTGAACATTTTTTAAGTACGTCATTTTTCATTTCATTTTCATTGGAAAAATTGGTACCTGACGGCGGGATTCGAGCTATGCACTTTACATTCCCGGCATCGGTATTTCGACTGATAAACTACCCGCATTTAAAAATTTTAAATCCACATACACGCCTTTCGAATACGGGGAGTATCGTTTAAAGCGATAACTGCGTTAGTTAGTTACAGTTACAGTTATAAAAACGTCGAATAAAACCCAGCGAGAATCAGCTATCGCCAGCATTTACTGGCGTATTTCAAGCGATACCTATATTAATTACAATTGTGTGATGTTTATTTATGAATACTACTTCTAATATAACTTCTGTGGTAATTTAGTAATCGACTTTGCGTGCTTACTGGTGTTAGGGTGTATCATAAGCCCCAACAGGCAGATACCACCATCCTGCTTATATCACGCTTTGATGAGTTAAACTACCGCAATAGAGTTGAGAATTTGAGTTCACACCTCAAAGTGTGTTGCGACATTCATTTTGTGGTATGGGCTCCATTGACACAAGTTGACCCGTGAACTCATCGAAACATGTGCCGAAAGCAAAAAAAAAAAAAAGATACTAAAACGACAAATATTTATGAATAGTTCGGACATGAATATATTGCCGCTTTGACTGTGGAAACGTTCTCTTTTACGTTCTGGGTATTAAAATTATACGAAATGATAAAGTAACGACTAAAAAAAGTTGTTTCTGTGCAACGGTTCCATCAAATATCATTAAGTTCATAGTTCTTCTTCCTAGTCGTTCTCTCTTGGGAGAGTAGTCGTGGATGATAAAGCAGCATTATCATTTGTTGCAGTCTTCAGTGGCTCTGGTACTTTGGACCAAGGACGACTGTGTCACAACTTTTATAAAGCCTGTCCAGCACTGAGAAAATCAGCTCACTGAGTTTCTCGCCGGATCTTCGCAGTGGGTCGCGTTTTCCCTCCAGTGGTAGATTCTGCGAAGCATTGCTCTTGCTAGGGCCAATGTTATCAACACTCCCTGTTTGAGCCCCGTGAGTTCACCTACACATCAATGAGAAGCTGAAATAGCCTCTTAAGGCTATCAGCATAGATAAGAAGAAAAGAGGAGATCAACCACGTGACCGATTGCCCTCCACCTGTCCTTGGAAATCAAGTCGTTCCATAGACATGGTACAAATCAGGAAATGTCTATAACTATTTTAAGGTCGACGTGCAGCGAAGCTCAACGTTAAATCACATACTATTTTCTAATTCAATTAATTGCAATTTAAATCCATTCATTTATCGTCCAGGGTCGAATAACTGTCATCATGAATGGGTCATTAAATCATTACTGTGTTATTTGCATTGAAAACACTCGATTTCTCAGTGTACTCTGGCTAATGTATGAGATCACGTTCTTGTCACCAGTTTAATGGAAAATATACACGTTAATTATTTTTCAGACGAGACCATAATCCACCTGGTTAACTGGATCTCAATGTGATAACATAAAGTGTATATTTATCGAAAATTGAGACATTAGATCAAAATCTCAGCCGTGTTGATGACAATATCCCGTTCTTCAAACAGCAATATCCACCCTCACCAGACACACTACCATCAGACCAAAATCAGCATAATTTTAGAAAGCTTTATTTACGGGTTTTTAGAAGTAAAATAAATTATTTTACGCCTGCTCTGTGATACTTGCGTGCTACGTTCTTGAAACGCAAAGTGTACCTACTCCACGATAGATAGCAACTTTGTAGTATTTATTATCTGGTGGTAAAATATTAATGCTTATTTATATTGGAATTTGAAAATGAATATTACATATAGATAATAAGTAGCGTGATTAAATGATATTTTAAGAAAAAGAAAACCAGACTGAACATAATTAATATTCTATACCAAAAATGCATTATAAACTATAAATGACACAGTGTGCTTTTGTCAGGTCTCGATTAATTGGAACATTAATTAGGACCACACGAAAAGTCTTAGCCTTCAAACAACAAAAATAATCATCAAAATTGCTTCGCATAAACAAAGTTCTGAGGTGACAACACACCTTAAAAAAATTTGGTTGAATAAAGAACCTAATTCTTTTTTAAGTCTGTTAAAAATAAATCGGCTCACTACTATGTTTGACAAACATCACGTATTACGCCAACAAATACATACAAAGAATCCAATAACGCATGCAACGATTTTATTTACAACGTGAACCATCATTGTTCCGGAAACGAATGCAACGATTAATGAAATAAAGCAGTCCGCAATCAATTCTCGGTTGCAAATTGAATCTTTCAACGTCCCACAGAGCTTGTGGCAATATTTATTAATGCTACAGCTTATTGAAAGCGGCTCTTATTTGTCGAACGTAAATTGTTTTGTCCAAGCGATTGAGTTTACTAGTTACACATAGTGGTCGAAAGATTCTAATTACGGAAGATGATACTCTGAGTGAGTATTATTAAAAGAACTGATGAAACCGAACCAATACTAATTTTATATAAATGGTCTGCAGTTGCGGCAGTTCTACGCATTTTCCATTTTCTGTGAGCATATTATTTTTTTCCTACTTAAGCTGATAGCCTTGAGAGGCTATTTCAGCGTAACCTTAACTAGTAGGTGAGCTCTCGGGGCTCAAACCTGACGACGTTGCTAACACGAACCCTAGCAAGAGCCATGCTTCGCAGAATCTACTACCGGATCGGAAACGCGACCCACTGAGAAGATCCGGCGAGAAACTCAGTAGGCTATATCTGTGAGTTAATTTACTCGTCGAGCCCTTCGTCGCAAGCGACGGGTTCGACGAGAACGATGACCGGTGCTTGAGGTACCTAAAAGCACCGTTAGTGGATCGGGAGGATCCGAAATGACATGTTTTGGGCGACGTCGACTGCTTTCCATTCTGTCTGCAGTATCAGGAATGAAATGTGAGCATCGAGTTTCATCATAAGTACTGGCTGCGCTTTGTGAGCCTGGGAGAGAGTATCGCCCTCTAGCCTGTTTCAGTCGCGAAGCAGACCAATATTACGGTGCATATACAATTAATATAGTAGTGACGTCTATAAGATCGAGCCACTCAACACTGAGCCGCGAGCTGGTCTGCCCATAAACAATGACAAAAAGCAGAGCTTCCCAAAGGACTATAACTATATTTTGTGTGCTAGTTGCGTGGATTTATCAAGTCCACCAAAAATAGTTTAACAAGCTGTGGCATAGTTCTTTCATTACCGGCAAAAAAAGTTTTCGTCTTTTAGTTTTAACGAGGGTACGAAAGTTTTAATGTACTTACTGGAGGTTCCTTCATCTTTGACGTCTTGTACTATTCGGCGGACGCTCTGTGTGAACTTGCCTACCAAGTTCGTACTCGCTGAAACAAACGGATAAGAGAGTTTACTAAAATGAAACATTTTATTTTTTTATCTCTATAGGCTAAAGCATAAAAAAGCCTATTATATCTATAATATTACCGTCTACCGGATTGAGTATTTTAGCATCAAAGCTTAAGAATGAGATAGTGATCTTTTCTTTGTACTGTACTTTGTAATGTTCCTTGGACAAAATGTAAATATCTTTTCAACAGATTGAACTGAATTCTTGTATTTATAATAAAAAGTTAATTAAGAGTTTCATAATAATTTTATTATACATAGCTTAGTGAGAATATAAGTTACAGAATTTTGTATCGAATTATCTAACTGTCAGTAGGAAAAACGCCGTCATAAAAACCTTCCGAAAATATGTCATGTGAAGCGGACATTTTTGTGTAAAGCAACATAGTAAGTTTTCCGATATAAAAACCTTACACTCTGCACAACATTAAAACACAGTTCTTTTGTAAAACACCACACGTTTTCTCTTACGCATTATAGTACATTTACATACATGATTGTTTTACCTTAACAAACGCTAAACAAACGCGTGCAAAATGTTTTAAGCTTAATTCCGGCGGTAACGTGGGCTGACTGCACACATTTTTTCTTAACAGCCTCGTGTGTGTGTTTTTAACATTTTTGTTACGCATATTTTTTCTCTCATTTATATTGTTTACTGCTCCCAGAGGCCTATATGCTTCGTTTAAGAACATATACATTAAAGTAAGACTCCTATGATAAATGAATAAATGTATAATTTTGTTGTTACTTGTTTTAAGTAAAAGCAATTGGGTATTGTAAGGTTTTAATGGAAGGATTTTGTATCAAAAAAAAAACGAAGAAATTTGTCTATAATATTTATGCTTCACGTTTGTAGAATATTAAGCGAAAGAAATGTGTTGTGCCGCAACAATTAATACAATCGCTCCCCGGGTACAAGGAAACTTTTAATGTAAAAGTTGTTCGTCGGAGTTTTAAGGGAATGTTTTACTAAAGTGCTCCAATAAATCTCGATACTTTTTTTCTATTTTGTACGTTAAGACAACGTCTTGTTTATCTACGTTCATTCCAAATCATCAGCTTGGTTTATAATTTAGGTATTTTCTTCGTTTATGATTTGATTAATATTTTATACATTAGCAATGTTAAACCAAACCTTAAAGTTTGTGAACATTACGAGGAGATTTTCGAGGAATTTAAATCAAAGTTGTGGTTAATTATATAATGTATTTATGTATGTATTATGTCTGTATTTATTAGGCACTTAGAATCTATTTATGATTTTGAATTTCGAATCGTTAATGAGTTATTTATTACAATTTATTAATACAATTTATTATTAAAGTGGATGTGCAGAAATGGATCAAGCATTTTTCAATTTAAGTTAGTGTCTTTTTGTAAAGATTTAAGACGACATCTTCGTAATGGACAGTAAATGAGGCGGCGCATACGAGGCGGCATACATCGTTCTTCAACAGCATTTAGTTTAGGTATACTAGTTAAATTCCCATCCAAAAACGCTTTGAGCATTCTTCAAGTCAAGGAATTAATAATATTAATAAAACGTAGTCACGAATGACACTCACCGATCCGAAACTATTTGAAAACTGCAAGGCCTGGTTTTTATAGCATTTCTAGCTTGCTTGTAAATGATGATTTGCGTGATTACTAGTGGTAGAGCCCACGGAATAGATAAATAAGGTACCTTACCTACCTTATTTATCTATTCCGTGGTAGAGCCCCTTGTGAGTCCGCGCGAGTATGTACCACCACCCTGTCTATTTTTGCCGTGAAGCAGTAATGCGTTTCGGTTTGAAGGGTGGCGTAGCCGTTGTAACTATACTTGAGACCTTAGAACTTATATCTCAAGGTGGGTGGAACTTATATCTCAACACCAGGTGGGCTGTGAGCTCGTCCACCCATCTAAGCAATAAATAAAAAAAGATTGAGGCAGTTAAAGCTCGTGGAGTCAACCAGACTTAACATATGGATTGGTCGCACCGCCTGTCTTCTTTTTCCAGACTAATAAGAATACAATGTTTCGGTAGATACAGCGTGTTCCGCAAAAAACATCGTATATCTCAGTTATTTTTTTGTCTAGTTAAAATAAGCAAGCGCAAAAGGATTTTTGCATTTTTAATGGCATTACTAAACATGCATTAATATTTACAATGCTCAGATGTAGAGTGTAGACTTCGACGGTGTAGAGATTTTAGGAGATTAAAAAGGTGTTTCCTTATTGTTATGCTGATGTCGAGGGATGTTTCTTTATGGTTTCCATTGCGTGATTACGTGAATATAATATTGTAAATATGGGAATAGTTTATAAATAAGTTGACTGGTTTAATTTTATTATTATTTCTTGCAATACAATTTAATAATTCCAATGGGTGGAAAATTGACCCATTAGATTGATAAATCGATATACTAGGATACTGCTTTACCACATTTAGTAACAAGTCTATTCAGTGATCTATGATGATAAGTTCTTCTTCTTCTCCATCGCTCCCTCGTTACTGAGGATCGCGACTCCGTTTCAGCCTGTCGGCTGCCTGCCTCCATCGGTTCCGGTCAGTTCTCTGGTGTAGTGCAGCGCTAAGTGGTCCGTTGGTTTGCTTGGAGGTCTGGTCGGATTAACATTTGGGGCTCCGGCCTCTAGGACGGAACTTTAACTCCGCCGTAGACGGTCCCAAGCCCGGTTTAAGAAAGGAGGAGGGTTGACTATAAACGGCGTGTACCTTCACCACCAAGGTACCTACATTGATAGTCGTAAAAACGCCAATGTCGAGTAGCAGGCGATGATCAACTAACCTACTCAAATAATCTGGTCACGGTGGACCTTGAAGACTAAATACCTCCTAAAATAACCGACGTAGAAGGTAATGAGAACCCACTACGCTTACAGTCCCAAGAGAACTCCATTGAAGCTATGTCAATGATAAGTTACTAAGCAATTTTTATCATTCACAACCCAACTCTCTACACACTTTATTAATTAAATAAAACTGGATAAACTATTAAAAAAAACTTTATAGAACATTTCAGCCAAAACTTGAACTACCTCTTTACACGTGTACATACATATGCTATTAATACTGAATGAGAAGTTTTTTTTGAGTGAGCGGTTGCTGTGTTAGGTCTAGAGAGGCAAATACCTCGGGTCACAGAGCCGACGATGTTTGCACAGTGAAGCCAGGAAATGGAATTTCTCAACGATAGTCGCTTGGCAAAGACGTTAAGGAATACTTAAATAGGATTGTACTGGAACGTCAAAGTGCAGAGAGACTCTTGGTTCATTTCCGATTACTTCACTGTGGATGCGATACGATGTGGAGCTAATGTGTTTGCTGATGTTCTGCATGTGATATTTCCCTATTTCAGTTTCGTATCTGGGCAGTGGATTTTTTGGAATATGTATTTGATTATCATTTTTATTCCGTTGAGAGATGAACGAGTTGAAGGTCTTCCTGGCATTAACTGCAAGTCATAGATATCAGAACGTAAATACCACCATTCACCGTGCTTTTGTCCTGGTGAAACTTAAAGGCCTTCGGGCCACCAGTAATCTTTCAATCACAAGCTGCCGTGAAGCAGTAATGTGTTTCGGTTTGAAGGGCGGGGCAGCCGTTGTAACTATACTGAGACCTTAGAACTTATATCTCAAGGTGAGTGGCGTATTTACGTTGAGATGTCTATGGGCTCCAGTAACTACCTAACACCAGGCGGGCTGTGAGCTCGTCCACCCATCTAAGCAATAAAAAAAAATTGTTCGGTGAATTGCTAAGTCGTTTTTGACGACACTTGCGGGATGATAAATTGGTGCTCTACTAAGCCGCCACAAAATCATAGTTGAGTCGAACTTAGTGCACAAACTACAAACTCATGATAATCAAAATACAATTACTTAAAATTATACATTCTCTTTTGGAGCATGCTTGATACAAAAATATGAAAGGAGATGAACCGAATTCGTCCGTAAATCCAGTAAAAATTATATCCTGTGCTTCTCTTGTAATTCCAATTTTATATTATCATTGACTATTGATCCACTCGGGCGATTTATTTATAGTTCCATTTGTTCTTACATGAAATCCCAGTGTGCACTGAGAGATTAATTGAAACTGCATAGTTTATTTTTGAGTTTTTATTGTAATTGTATTATTACCAACTTTCGTTGCTCGAATATTTTACAGTTTTCGTGGTCATAAATGACTACGGTATTATTCGTTGGCACTTATTGTGCTAATTGTTCGTGGTAGTTTTAATTAGGTATACGAAGAAATCGAATTGAACGCGAAAACTGAAGAAAATACTTTATGCATTGACTGTTAGTTTAAACTTCTCTAAAATATGCCACCTTTATAATATTAGACCAAGATCGGTTTTAAACTGCTACACCGTCGAAATCAACCTTCAGTTAATACTTGAACTTTAAATGTCCTACTATTATAAAGTGCATGCAAATAACACGCTCACGGGATTTAATTTTGCAATAACGATGCGAGCCTTGCGATTCTCACGGTTAAAATAGTCTAAGCGTTGAAGAAGATTTTGATTCAATGGAACTTTCAAGGCTTTATACAGTTTTTTAATAATGTTGTTTTTAAATTTTGACCAAAATCATCACTCTAACGCCACAGAGTAGACATTTACAATTTTGTTTGCGGCGTAAGCGTTCCAACTAACAAAAATACCTATTTTATGTTTATGGTAATTTACGTGTCATTTGTTTTACCAAAATCTTGGATTACTATAATGATGTCTTGTTCTTGGTTTTTCTAAATAGCAAAAGGTTCTAGCGTGACTCATAAATTTAGTAAATAGACAGCCTACATAAATTAGAGGTGATTCAGCTTTGTAGCTACGTGGGCATTGTGGGCTATTCCCATACGCGTTACTTGGAAAAGCTTACGTTGAATGACTTTACATATCCAAAAAGATTAAATGATATTAGCAGTGACATATACTGACTGGTATGTACTGAGATGGTATGGAC